AGTAACCACTTCACTCACACGCACTACATCTCCCTTACTCTTACCATTTCTGATCAAATAGTCGATAAACAACTCATTGACCGCTAACTGGACACTAATAAACTGTCGCTCATATATGGTGTGTGCGTTACTCCAATAGGACGGCCCTCCATCATACCTGTCCGGATGCAACTGTTTCAAGTATCCACACCATGTATTAATTGGTCTAATTGTCACTTTAAGGCCATTGTCACCATTCCTCTCCAATACAATGCCATACAGATTATCGTACCCTTCCCTCACAGTCAGGTGCTTAACCATCTCATCCTCGGTGGCATAACTACTAAACTCATTGACCGACTTTTTGGGAAAGCCTTTCATTATATCGTTGGCAAAGTCTGATGTATTCGGGGCGTAGAATATGCGATAATTTTCATTATATCGTTCATCTCGGAACAAATGACTTATATTATAATGTTCCTGATCATATTTGCCATTATAATATTTAGGCGGCTCCCAAGTCGACTCTTTATAATCCAATGATCTATCATTGCGATATACCCAGGCCATAAGTATACCTAATAGTATGGGGAATAGGAGTTCAAACAGGGCTGATATCCAGTGTTTGCGACGGATTATCCAACTCTTCCATAGGAGCACCGATAGCTGCTTTAGGACGAGTGGTGCCATATTTTATGACTTATCTGTACAAAAAATAATTTAGTTTAGTTTATTTAATAATTTCAGTTCGTAATTAATAAATTTGTATGATGAATTAAGAATCGAAAATAATTTTTATATAATATTTATATTTTAAAAAATTCACCAGTATCATAATAAGATAACTTACACTCTTAGGTAATATGAAATATAGTAACAAATTATAAAAATCACTTTATTTGATTGAAATATTCAATTAAAGCAAAGATTATTAGTTCAAAAAATATCTAAACTTGTTTAAATAGATGCAATGTTCAAATAAATTAAGTAATACTTTAATGAAGTTTTAAATAACTGTACTGTACTACACAGCAATCTGTATAAACAATTAAATTTACATTTGACGTTGTTTAAACAAAATTGGTATTGCTATAATAATTAGGCTTATAAAGTATTCATAACAATACTAGCCTTATTCGTATTGATAGAATCATCATTGACATTACAGTATGATTTATAATAAATTATATTACAATTATATTGACCTGGTCATTTTAAATTATAAAGTTATTAAATATAAGACATACTTCATATACATTAATAATATGCCAATAATAAGCCTGTAATAATTAAAATATTTGTTAAAAATAAAATAACATGATTGATTAAAATACAATTAGTTTTCAATGAATGTAGAAATACTCTTAAATTTATAATAAGACTCTTATAAATAAACACAAATTCTCTATACTTTTTATTTAACATTTATAAAATATATAAAATTTATAAAATAATAATTAGATATAATATAAAGTGAATACCGAATACTTGATAATAGAAATCAATGATTACTAATCATGTTAATTATCAAATTGATGAGGGTATTGCCAAATGTTTGATATGATGTGTAGAGTAATCATAACAAACTGTGCATAAGTTTCAATAAATAAGTGACCGTTAATCCGATTAAATATTTAATTGGAAATGAAGTCAATTTATCAAGTCAAAATAAAAAGTGAAATAAATATTTGTTTGCAAAGAATTATGCCCTCCACCCGAGCGCCGGTAGTGTATATTTCTATGAGCAAACCTACCAACGTAAAGCCTATTTAAATACGACAGCCTATGGTGTAACACATTTCTCGGACATTGATTTCGTGTTTGGTTTACCAATACTTCAGCCCAAACCCAGTGATACCCCAATCGATGTCGAGTTTAGTCTAAACCTATATATGCTTGGGTATATGGGTATATTTATGCTTACGTTAAATGTATTTATTTGATTTACTTTGATTACAACTGATAGCAATCCAGGTAAAAATTGGGCAAAACTTATTAATTTTAAAACTGGAGATTACGTGCCAAAAGTGAAAGATTTAAGTCCATACAAATTATGGTATAATTTTGAAAATTTATTTATTAAGACATGCGATGGAAAGACCATATTTTGGAAACATATTTTATGGAAACATTTTAAATATTAATTTTAAATTAAAATATCTTTAGTATGATTTATAAGTGTTATATACAGTACTATAATTTGTATTTAAATAATGTATTAAAAACATAATTAAAGAAATATATTTATTTGTGAATAAAAATTAAATTGAAGATCTCTTAACATAAAAACAATTGTTTTTGGTTTCGCCTGTTTTTAATAATAATATAAAATACTGTACTGTATGTGCCATTTACGTGGATATACTGGTCTAATGAATTAGATTTAAAGATTTTTCTATAAATAGATTTATAATAATGCAAAATAAAAATCATACAATTTTCCCTTACATTCATAAAAATGATCGTGTATAATTATTTATTGGTTTGTTACTAAAACGAAATGAAGATTTCAAAACATTTCACAATTTTAATAAAAGTTATTTTATCTGATGAATGAAATTGATTTGCCATTAAGCGATATTGCGGAGTTTATATTTCATATAGATGTGTATACACTATATTATGTACAAAATACTGTAATATAAATAATTTAGTTTTAAAACAAACTCATAATTAAGAAATAATTAGTGCCTGATATATACAGGTATTGATAGAAGTTATAGTTATTCATAGGAAACAAATCGAGACAATAGAAACCAATGTCAGGTCCACTCAAGTGCTCAATGAATATCACTATTTTCTGCTTTTGTCTCAAAGTTAGCGATCGTTTGGTTATTAATGAATATAAATGTGAATAACTCTTGTGAACACTTTTTGATAACATTGCACACAACAGGTTCATAACAAATAAAGCGATAAATATTAACAGAGATAAAATACTTGCTAATATTCGTGTCCAAAAATCAGTTTGATCATGGTGAATTGTATAAATAAGTAGTTCAAGTGCTGGGGTGGCAATGAAGTAGTACACAAATAAAATATCAGACATAAAATCGCTTAACTTTTTAATCACGACAGTCATGGTGTTGTGTTCACTGATTATCGATATTACTTGTAAAACATGGTTAGTTTTTATACAAAACAATATTTTAGCATTAAGTTCATCAAATTTACATTTCAAATACATTGTAATTCCAGTGAAAGCTATTAATCCCAAACCAAAGGTGACTACTAAGTGAAAGCATTCAAAACCGTATATAATATTCCACACAATGATAGCCACTATTGAATAATTATAACGATTATCAAAGTATGCGATTATAGTGGGTATGAAACCCCATAAATATATGATTAGCACTCCAGCAATACCTACTGGTTTTGCACATTTTAGACCCATGTGTACCAAAAATCTAAATTGTTTCTCATGTTTGGCATTAAGTCTATAAATAAATTTTCTGTGTTTGATGTCATTCGTAAGATTTAAAACATACAACTTATTATTCATTTCATAAGCAAGCATAATTAGTGAACACATTAGGAGCGCAATAACTCTAGAGGCTATCATTGTGTTCATCAAACGTGAGTTTCCCACCAAATACGAGGCGTCGACAAACACCTCCCGAACCCATTGTCGGTCACCCATGAGAGCCAATGCAGTCCATCGACAGGCGCTCAACACTGTTATGAGTCTAATGAGTGAACACAACACTAATCTTCGGACACTTCTGTGTCCGCACACGTAGTCATCAAATGTCTCGCAAATTGTGAAATAAGTGTTTTTGCAAAACTTCTCTGCGTTTGCCATAATAACCGATAATTCATTGAATTCTTGTTTACGAATGAATTTTATTTTTGTCTCATATGTTGTGAGATATCGCCGATTCTTTCGATATTTTTGCATTTTTTGTTATAATATTTGAAAATATAATTCCGTGAAATCAAAATATCAATGAATTATTTTCAATAGGCTTAAGAAATGAGAAGTATATAGGTAATTACGGTTGTCCAATTATACATTAATAGCAATATAATTATTGCGTATGAATTTCATGATAAACGGCTTATTTAGTCATAATCTGGGTAAATTAGTTTATAAATTTAATAAATAATAAGCACTAAAGTCAAGAAATAACATGTAATAGAGAAATTGGGTTACTTTATTTAAAAATACTTATTGTTTACGATTAGTTTTACTATTATTATTCATTTTTTACAATTAAAAATTAGATTAATCTGCGTATTTTTCCAAATATAATGATTGGCAATGATAAATTACATTGATTATTGATTTCATAATAAAACTAAAGCTTATATTAACTTTAATAATGTTTAAATGACATCCAAACTCAGAGATCTCACTATAAAGTGAAATAATTATATTTGAGAATTCATTGATTTGAAATTAATCGATATTTTTAAAACTCACAGTAAATGCAATTTCTAGTTCTGTACAGTATTATAATATATTTGGTAATGAACTATTTATTATGCATTCTATGTTATGCGATACCAAACATTATGCCAATAAACTTTATTGAATCAATATTTACGGTATAATCAGTAATTTTTATAAAAATTATTTCAAAATTAACTCATAATTAGGATATAATTAGAGCTCAATATATACAGGTATTGATAGAAGTGATAGTTATTCGTAGGAAACAAATCCAAAACAACACTCAAATACTTGTAGAGTTTATCATTAATTAAATTGAATTAAAAAACACATTTAAAAATAAAATGTAAATTGATTTATGAAAATATAAATATTACAAAGAAACAGTGAATAAGTCAAATATTTGATAATTTTATTTTAAATTATTCTGATGTATACACAAACGGTACATAATTTTGCTAGATTAATTGAATTTCTGTTTAGACTTTTACAGTACAGTTAAGCAAATTGTATGTTTGACATGAATTGAAAACAATTTGACATAAAGTTATGTGAAATCAATTGAGAATAACTGAAATGAAAACTCAAATAAATAGTTGTTTTGTATTAATAACTCTTAAGTTAATTATCTCTGTTTTCTGGCAAACGATAGGAAGATCTGCTCTAAAGTGGTGTCACTTATGATATAGTCTTCGAGAGAGAAGTGGTGTTTCATGTCTTCCATGACTGCAAACATCTTCGACCACAAGATGTTTGAGTCTGTGATGTGATAGTGAAGAAGGCATTGATGGACGTCCTTCAGGACAGCCGATGGCAGACATCGCGAGACATACTCTTCTATGGACGCCATATATGACGAGTCGTCCACTGATTGATCCAAAGAGACAGACATTCAGACAATGAGTTCATTAATGGAGACAATGGTATGAATACTAATGAATACCTAAATCGCGTCTAAGTTTAGCCATTATAGTGAATCCCTGTCCAAACTTGTGTCTCAAGTGCTGAACAGATCCGAAGCACTGGAACCTGCCGTTCACCATAATAGCCACCCGAGCGCACAGGGCTTCGCATTCCTCCATGGAATGGGAGGTCAGTATAAAAGCCGAGCCATACGTCCTCTGGAGTGACGCCAGAGTCGACCATATCTTGCGTCGCGCCGACGGATCCACTCCTGATGTGGGCTCATCTGTGGGGGAAAGGGATGTATGAGATGTATGCACACAATGAATGTTTGTGAGGAACTGTACCCAAGAATATGACGGGAGGGGCGGCACAGAGGGCTATAGCGAGCGACAGTTTACGTCGATTGCCTCCACTGTAAGTGTCGGTGCATTTGTCGACGTGAGGGATGAGGTCTACCATTGCTGTCAACTCCTTGACGTATGTGTCGATCATGTCTTCGCACATACCTCTGAGTCGGCAGAAGAGGAATAGAGTCTCTCTTCCCGTCATTTTGTTGAGCAAAGCGTCAAACTGTGGACAATAGCCGACCCTTTGCTGGAAGGCCTGCAAGTGTTGTCTCAACGCCAATGAGCCGATCCATGCGTTGCCATCGCTCACCGTCTCATCGCCGGTAAGCATACGAA